CCTTTTCAAGCCCCCATCCATGCATACATTGCTCAATCAACCTCCCAATGGTTTCCCCTTTTCCATTTGGCATGGTACAAAAGTTGATAATTCTCTTTTGAAGCTTCCAATCAGAATCAATGTAGTGGGCAGTTAGACACATATAATGTATGTTTTGCAAATAAGTCCAACCATTAGTTGTAAAGGACACCCTCTTACAATCCTTGCATAAAGAAACTTTTAATTTAGCATTTTCCTCACTAAACAATTGCAAAACATCTCTAGCAACTGTTATTCTTGAGGGAGGAATAAATTTGGGCTGCATCACTTGGCAAAATTGTTTAAACCCATCCCCTTCTATACTCCTAAACGACAGCTCATCCATGATCACCATCTTAGCTAAAGCTTTCCTACAAGCTTCTTTACTATACCCAATTGCCAACAAACCACTCCCACTTTCACTACTCGCACCAAAACTTAACAATTTCTACTTCTTATCTTCAACTCTAAAGGGATTCTTTTTGCATTTTCTTAAATGAACCAACATGCTACTTGTCCCGTGCGTTCTAGAACTACAAGCATAGTCCTTCCCACAATAATTACACACCCCTATTTCATCACCTGGATTCCTCCTTTTCTTAATAGTAAAATGATCCCAAACCTCAGATTTCTTAACGGGTTTTTTCTTACCAGATGTCCCCTTATTCTCATATTCTAAATCAATCACATCTTTTTTTGGTGATCTAGGGGCTGGTGTTTTGAAAATCACGTTAGAGACAGGCGATTCTTTTGTTGTACGATTAGGGGATCGGGAAGATGATGCTATAGTTCCAGAGGTTGGGGTGTAGTTGTCAGATGATGATAGGAACTTGTCCATCCTAAACAGAAAATATAAAGCAAGCCATTCACATAACAGAGAGCATAGAACATAAACCTTGAAATGTGCATAGAACGTAAAACAAGCCATTCACATAACAAGACATTGGTGAAGTGTACAGTATTCAATCTAACATGGAAGATAGCAGCTTAAATTGATTACTGGATGGAATGCAGCTGTAAGGTACAGTTTTATCTTTGGATACAGAAAGGCCTACTACTCCGGTGTGGCAATTCTTTTCCTTTCATGTTGTTGTCTTTCATGTGTTATTGCCCACCCAAATAAATGCCTTAAAGGTTACTGATTGTGGAATAAATGTAGTTTGATTTATGTCCAATTCTACAATACGACAGAGATTGAAAAGGTAAAAAATAAAAATATAAAATAATAACTACAAGCTTTATCTTTGTGCCGCTTTAGGTTGCTCCTTAGTTCGGCTTAAAATAATAATTATACTCTAATGGACCCAATGCTCATTTCTAATGATTACTCTAAACAAATGTTATTTAAGCTTCAATTGAAATTTAATTAATGGGCAGATAAGAGGCCTTGGCACAATTAATGGGTCAGTGCCTAAATTGAAACCCAGATTGAGATCAACTTAGTTTTCTCAAGAACGAAAAGGAGAGTGAAAATATACAGAACTTGAGAGGTTGAGATCAACTTAGTTTTCTCTTTTCCAGAACCCAAATTTTGGGGGGGTTTTTTTTTTTGGTCCAGATTTCCAGATTTCCAAATTGAAACCCAACATTTTATTCGAACTACAGTATTGAAAAAAAAAGAACTTGAAGGCCGAGACGACTGAGAGAGACCTAGAGGCGACTGAACACAGAGCCGAGACGACTGAGCACTGAGGACTTGAGGCGAGAGAGCATCGAAGAAAGTGAGCAAGACGGCGGCCGAGAGGACTGAGCAATGATGAGAGAGTTGGGAGGGGAGAGGCGGCCGAGAGATATGAAATGAGGGAAAACTGAAATCTGAAAAGGAAGAGGCCGAGAGATTGTGAAGGAAGAGGCTTCACGGGAGGGGAGGGGAGGAAGAGGCTTCAAAAATCTGCATTTCTTGTTTGTTTTTTAACGATAATTCTTATGACTTCATTCATGCCTCACAAACAACCTAGTTCTATATGATTGGATTCAAATCATTTATTTTTCCGAATTCTTGTTTGTTTTTCCGAATCCAGAAGTACGTATGATTGGATTCAAATCATTTCTTTTTCTTAATTGAGGAACATAACCTAGTTCTAGAAGAAATAAGGATCGATTTTCTTTGGGAACATAACCTAGTTGAGGAACTAACCTTCAGAGTCGAATTTCTGGAAGAAATAAGGATCGATTTCTTTGGGATCACTTCTGCCAATCCGCTGGTATTCTCTTTCCGCCAAACCCGCCATTATTCTCTCCCGATAAACCAGCCACTCTTCAATTCGATCATGAACCGAGAAACATCAAAGGAGAAATCAAATTTCCAATCCAAACAAACACTAAAAAAAAAATAGAGATGAGAAAGAAGTGAGAGAGAGAGAGAGATTTCGTTACCTCCGACTCGGGGAAATTGTTGCTAACTATTCCAATTTATGCTTCAGTGCTTCTTATCTATGGGGAGTTATGAGACTGAAGGCCTGAGGGGAGACTGGAGAAGGGCGGCCGCCGAGACTGAAGAGACGAGAGTGCGAGAGGAGTCAGAGTAACTGGAGATGAGAGTGCGAGACTGGAGAGTGGAGAGGGGCCGCCCTAGCCCTAAATCCTCCTAATGCGGCGGGTAATGATTTGAATGGGCCGAAGGCCTGAGTAATATTAATGGGCCAAACCCAAACTAAGCCTGGGGATGTATTGTGTGCGGGTTGGGTTGGGGGTTGCGGGTTGTTACGGGCTCAACCAACAATCCGCCCCAAACACTTCGGGCCAGAGGTATAATGGGCCGAAAATTAAAAAAAATACTGCGGGTTGCTTTTTTCGGGTTGGAGCGGTGCGGTGCGGGGTGGGTTTGCGGGTTGTTCGGGTTTATGAACACCCCTAGTTGCAGAAGTTTCTTTTTCTTTATTAAATGCAAAGTTTCTTTACAGGATAAAAATTTATTGAAAAGTTTCTTTTTATGAGGGAAAACATTGTAGCGAATCATGAACTATGATTCAAATTATGGTTTGAATCCTCTAACCAAACATCCCTTAAATAAATCGCTCATGGCTCATCCAATACATAAAATAAAGTCAGCCCCAAAACTTTTGCAACAACGATATGATATCATAATTAGTATTAAAAATTTGCCTTTTGTTAAAACAATTTTATTAAATGCAGATATTATGTTAGATTCTGTAGTTTACTTTTCTATATTAAAGTTTTTTAATGTCTCACTTTCTTACTTATTTTGTTGTTTGATTTTTTTTTAGAGAATGAGTGAAATAACATAATTAGTAAGGTGATTAATAAATTATAAAATAATTTTTAAAAATATGTATGTAGTTTATAGCATAATTTAATATCTTAAACTTCCAATATCATTAAAAACTCAAAAATATCCCTCTCATTCCTACTTCTCTCTCTTTCTCCCTTTAGTCCACGTGGCTAGGGTCATCACCAGCGATCGACGACTAATGACCGACAACCAACGACTGGTAAATACCATATTTATCGGTAAATATCGTATATATTGGTAATTTGCACAAATGGTCTCTAACCTCTTTAGTAGGTGACAGTTTGGTCCATAACATTTTTTTAGCAAAACGACCCCCAATCTCTTTAAAAGGTGACAATTTGGTCCTTTCCATCAAATTTTTAACAGAACATGTCACGTGACCCTTTTTTCAGTAAAATAACTTAAATGTCCCCAGAAAAATTATCCCTTTCTCCTCAACATCACGATCGTCTCCATCCCTGTCTCTGACTTTCCAATGATAAACATGTCTCCACTACTTGGCGAAGATAATGATCGCAGCAGTGCCCCACTCATTGCAATGCGCCTTCTCCACGCTTTCTCGCCCGAAATGTTCAACTGCGAATCATCACCATAATCCCTCTCCCTTCTTTTTCCCTCTCTTGTTTGTCCCTCCTCTCCCTTTCCTCCGTCTCTCGCCGCCTTCTTTCGAGCTAATTCCTCATCTCGACCTCCATCAATTTTCTCTTCTTCTCCCTCCTAAAATCCTCATAATCATCCGACCTCGCCAGATCATACTCTTCAAGGAGCATGGACGTAACGCCCACCAAAGTAGGCTGAGCGACGGGCTTCAGTGCCATTGCAAGCAGCGGAGCAACTGCGGGCGACGCAACAGTTTTTGGCTGCGTCGAATTCCCTGGTTTCTGCTTGTTCTGCGTCTTCAGTATCATCTGCGCGAAGGGAAAAAACCAAAGTAGGTTTACAGAGGGTGGGCAGTGCGTTTATGGAGGGTGGACGGCGCCATTTTCGTGTTGGTTGACCAAACAGTGGAGTTGCTCGGCTTTTCTTCATCGGCTGAGAGAGAGAGCGTGAGAGATGAGAGAGAGAGGAGAGAGAGAGCATGAGAGATGAGAGATGAGAGAGAGAAAGATAGAGAAAGATAGCTTGCCTTGATATTTTACCAAAATACCCTCTTTAACAAGATCACATGCCTTGCACATGATTAATTCTATTAAAAATTTAACAAAATTTGACGGAAAATACTAAACTGTCACCTTTCAAAGAGGTTGAGAATCGTTTTGTAAAAAAAAAAAAAAAATTAGGGACCAAACTGTAACCTTTTAAAATAATTAAAGACTACTTGTGTAGATTGCCCATATTTATTGATAAATACTATATTTACCATATTTATATGAAGATCTGATGACCGACTCAGACAACCAATAAAATATCGTATTTACTTATAAATATTATATTTATCTAAAAATTCAACTACCTGTGCCAACAACTAGTAAATATCAAATTCAATAAAATATTTATTGTAAATACAATATTTATCAGATCGAGAATTAAATTCAATCAAATATTTATTCATAAATATAATATTTATTAAATTTTAAATTTTATTTAGTAAAATATTTATTGATAAATATTATATTTACCGAATTCAAATTTAAAGTTCAAATACAATATTTATCATATTCAAATATTTATTAGTAATGTATTTATCCAAATCACATAACTCAGAATGAAAACTCCAAATTAAAATATGAACATCAACATCATTTCTCTGGAAACAAATAAAACTATCAAACCACCAAATCTCATTCATGGTAAAAAAACAAAAAAGAATGAAAATCAATAGAACCGTCGCGAAACCCACCGGAATCACAGAACATCCTCTAAACTCGCCGGAATTGAGGAATCACGGGAAATGGAGAAAGATATTGGTAAGGAGATGATGAGAGAGATTATTCGACATCTGCTCTGGCGACGATCTCTGATTCTGACAGCAACTCGTGACGTAGATGCTCGACGGTGCCAGAAAAGATGAGCCGCCATAAAATTTTACATATATTTTCCCCGTTATTTCTCTTGCCATATCTTAATCATGGCGAGATCTGGTTCGCGAAACGAATCGGATCCGAGGTTACGAGTTCTCCATTGAGGATCTGGATCATCTTCTTCCGGGCTGACACAGCTAGATCTAGCGAATTTTTGGTCCCGATGTCTGATGGTGGAAGGACAAAGAGGAGAGGGAAA